TGAAGAGACCTCGTGGTGAGCAAGAAGATGATCCGGACTTTGATCCGAAGGGCGAGGCACGAGGTTCTCACACGCGGAACCACGAGTGCCTCCGGAAGATGATACCGAAAACTCAAGGCACGAGGTAACGTGAGATGAAGCAAAGCTGTAAGTTAATTGACACAGCGTCGGGGCTCTGGCATAAGTATATAACTAATGTGAGTTCTTGTCCTCGACAAATACCGATGGTGCCTCTTTTGTTTGAGTACCCCACGGTGAAGAAGGGGTGGAGGAGGAAGCACCCGGTCCCTCCTCGGGAACTTCTTCAACCTGCAGCAATTACCCCAGCAAGAAGAAGTCGACTTGAAGAGGGCCAACACGAGAGGCACCGGATACGCAAGAAAGTGCATTTGATACACAAGATAGGGCGAAATGAGAGTCCTTGGAGCCAACTACCATCATCGGCACGTAAGGTGCCTATCACATATGATGATTGGTGGAAAGTTCCCAAGGACATCAAGGGTAGTGTGTGGGGAGAGGTGAAGAGGCGGTTCACGATCTAGCGGAGGGCTATAATGAAGACACTCAAAAATGTTCCAAGATGATTTTGGGCACCAAAGAAGATGTTATAAATGTCTTGGACATGTTAGAGATCAAATGGCGCAACAAAATAGCAAAAAAATCAAGGAGAAGACGGCGAGCCGAGGCGAGGCAGTCCGGCCGGCGGCCCGGCCGGCTCAAATCCTCCCCCTCCCGCCGGCTTAGCTTAGCTCCCCTTCTGTCGGCTAAGCCGACTCGCTCAGATTCTGAACCAATTTGTTTCCAAATTGAGTTTTGGCGTGGGAAACTTGAAGAACGTGTTTTGGAGTTGTTTTCATCGGGACAAGACCACCCCTAATATATATATGAGAGGAGCACGGCCGATTGAGTTCCTATCTATCTAATCGATCAAAACACATCTATTACACCTTTTTACTCCTTTTTCCAATCCTCTTGCTGTTCGCACGCCTCCCATGTAGATTTGTCGGGCGTCCTTGGTGGCCTCGCTGGTCCTAGGGCATCCTCCACGTGCTCCTCCTGGACAGGTCTTTCCGGGAGAAGTTTGGGAGTCTATCCGGCCGAGTACAGGTTCAACTCTCGTCTAACCGGTCTCTGGATCGGTTTCGACGATCAAGCCACGTTCTTGCTGTTTTGCAGGCTGATTGTAGCCTTTTGGGCATACTAGCCCCTGCTGGTGTGTGATCTGAACATGCTCCGGCGTTACACTTATTACGTATTATAAATATTAGTACTTTTTGTATATATTTAGTAAACTTATGCTTTATTAGCTCTTTGAAAAAATGAGAATAATATTCTTTTAGGCGGAGGGAGCACGTCGCTTTCCTGAGACGGGCTGCGGTTCATTTTTGTGTAGATGTACAGTGTGACAGACTGAAAACGATATCGAAGGTTTCCTTTCTTTGCACAGCAACAAACAACAGATCACTACAGCTATATTTTCGTAAGCATGCTTGCTTGTTTCTGTCGCGTTTCTGCGTCCGGTACTGCAAAGTTTTTGCCATGCGTGCCTAGTGTTTCTAGGTAGATATAAAAGGCGAAGGGAACTTGGTATGTGCCCACAGAATCACAGCTGGTGAGTGCAAAGTGGAGAAGAAGGTAGTTCCAGTACAGAGGGAAATAGGTGTGCTGTAGTGGACAAGATAAGCGCCGGCCTAGTATTGCATCTATCAGCAATCCCAGCTTATTAAAAACCCAAACTCCGAGCGAAAGTGCATCTGATCGTTCAAAGAACCAGAAAAGAAATACGTACGGGGGTAGTAGTGTAGTACTATGATACCTCACCTGTGTGCAGCCCACTTGCAGCTGGCTCCCATCAGATTAGCGCATTCGCTCTTTTTTTAAAAAAAAAAAAAAACAGTCATGGTTTTGATGCTAAGTGTCCGTCCCCGTTCCCGTCTTCCAGGACCGTCAGCATCAAGCTGCACCTGAACAAAAACCCAACCGCGAGCGGCTACCCCTTCCCGATATTTTAACCTAAGCAAGGCCTGCAGCCAAGCACACATTGCACAAGCAGTCCAAAAGCCCGGTAGAGGTAGAGATAGGATAGCCACGCACGATCCGTGCCAAGAGCGCGTGTGAACGGAGCGGGCGGATAAGCTCAGACCGGCGGTTGCGCTTGCGCACGCGACGACGTCGCCATCGCTGCCGGCAAGTGGAGTGTGCGCTCCCCACCACCACGAGGCGAAGGCACGAGCGAAACACCAACCGCGCAATCAATCATACAACAGAGGCCACAGCTGGGCTCGGTTGGCTTTGCATGCCTTGCGCGGGGGTCCCGTCCCGCGCGACGGCCAGGCCAGCGCGGGCGTGAGCGGACGCGCACCGCACGAGCACGACGCGAGCCATTAAACGACGCGACTTTTTCGCCGCGACGGGGACGGAGACGGATGGGTGGGGATCCCTGGATGGGGGCGAGCGACTGAGCGCGACGGCAAGGCGGGAGGGGGGAAGCACCTCCCACAACTTGGGCAGGGCAGGGGCGATTGATTGAGCCGGACGGACGCCCAAAAAGTTGTGTTTTGTCCGGTAGCCCGCAAGTGGGTGTGTGAGAGCGATGGGGAGCCGCAAGTGGGTGTGTGCGCGCATCAGGTGCGGTAGCTTCCTTTTTGATCGGAGGTGCGGTAGCTTCCTGCGATCAGCGATCCCGCTGCAGCTCTGCTGCCCGCTTTTGTGCAATACCGGGGCAGCCTGCCCGTGGATTGGAATGGAGACCAGTCCTGATTTTGCGGCTCAGTGACGTCGCCATCGGCTGGACCTGGACTTTACCGATGCTTGGTGTCGTCCAAGACTTCCTTCGGTGACTTATTAATCAACTAGCCAAGTAGGAGTGAAGTGATTCTGGTTAAGAACGCCTTTAATTAAAAGATTCATTGTTCCACAAATTATAAGATGGTTTGATTTTTTTTATATATCGGTTTTACTATGTATCTAGACGTACGTTATATGTAAATACATAGCAAAATTGATGTACAAGAAAGTTAAAGCGGCTTATAATTTAAAATGGTGGAATTTCCATTTATGTCATGAAGGCTACATCTACATAGTGGACTATATGAATGTTTAGAATACTGAATGAAGAGATGGCTTCCCTCACATACTATGCTGCTGTGTGTTCTAATCTAAGGGAGACAAGATAGGGAATGATAAAACGGTGCACAGGTCAATTCTCAACCGGTTATCTTTTCCAAATGGAATATGGATGCAACCGTTCACAAGACTCACAAGTGTGAAACCACACCTTCGGTCACACCTCGTCTTTTAGCGACACGGCAACCTTTTACATCACCGTCACAGTAAACTAGCACATCCAACTTTCTTATCCATTTCCCTCGATAATCTTTCCCACTATTTGGAACTAGAAGTAACACTTCATTCACACCACCAAGGGCAACTACTTTTTATTGGTAAGTAACAATTATGATGAGATCATAGTGGTTCACTTACATTTGTTTTGGGAACGAGGTGGGACGCGATAGTTCTGCCCTAATTTTTAAGGACCAGATAGTCCTATCTCTATGCTTGATTCATGAGATTGGATCGTCCTGGTTTTATATTTGATTGGATGGATACAAAGGGAAAAAGATGGATGGAGTGTTTGGATCCGTTAGTTGTCATCAACGTCGGTCATGTATGTAAGCCTATTTTAAACTTTCTTTTCCTTTGTTCGCACGTACACCGTAGCACAGCTTTGCATGGATGGCTGGACAATTGATCAAGTGCACAATTGAGATCATGCCTAGCCCCTGCACCCGCCCATCGCCCTGACCTTAACCTAGACTCTGCATGACGTGGTCGTGGTCGTTGCCGCCCCGCCCTCGCCCTCGCTTGCCGGCACGCCTTTGACCCCAGCACCCATCTCCACCTGGCACATCCGCCACCACCACTACTGTGACACAAAGAAGAGGGAGACACGGACTGACTCACACCATTGAAGAGGGACAAGTTGGACTCAAATGCATAGGAAATATGGAGACAGCTTCAACCCCGGTGTCAATGAACAAAACACCAAGACAAAGTGGAATATCCACCTAGCTAACTATTAATTGTGTGAGTAAGAAGGAACAAGTTAAAAAAGTAATTTTAAGTTGGGTGGTAGGTAAGACAATAGCTGACCTATCTAATACTAGTTAAGGATCCAACATAGCCACAGCTTACTACTAGTAATAACTATTAGCCACATGGGATCCAAGCAAACCATTAATTTATACTCTTTCAATCTCACAATAAGCATTTATAAAATCAAAATGTTATCCCACAATAAATGTAATTTGACCTCTTGGCCCAACTAAAACTAGTAAATTTAGCTATTTTTTAGTTTCCAAAGCACATGTGTCATTCCCGTAACACAAATTTCTGAAAAAAAATTACTTTTATGAGGGCACATGTGTCATTCCCATAACACAAATTTCTGGGGAAAAAAAGAATTTTACACTTATTTTTGGAACGGAGTGAACAGTGGCATAATATCCTTAAAAGGAAAAAAGGACGTGCGGTTGTACGGAGATGCTGAATGCGACTGTCACCAACTCACCGTAATCACAATTCCCATTTGCAAGAAACATAAATAGACGAGTTCCTATGGTACCAATGCTGCAGGCTAGCTAACCAAAAATGACACTTCACAAGAATCACAAGGCCGCGAGGGCATACTTGTGGAAACCAGAGAGAGACCGGCAAGAGCAGTAGCAAGTTGCCTGGTTGCAAGTTGCGTCCCGCGGCGGCCTTGAGCCAGATGCATTCCCCTTTTGCTTTCTTTCTCCGGTTGTGGGAACTGAGCTGTGCCTGTGCCTCCAATCCATTCCCGCGCTTTTCTACTCTGCTTCAGCCGCCACCTATAAATATGCGCCCGCAAATCCCACCATCCGCATCGCAAAAACCACCCAGGACAAAGTTCAAGCAGCACTGCAGCAGCAACGCAGATCAACACCACCTTGAAGCGAAGGAAAATCGAGCTAGCCAAGATGTGCCCAATCAAGAAGGAGACGAGCGCCGAGTCCGGCTCGCCGTGCAGCTCGCCCTCGGCCTCCTCCACCTCGCTGGAGCACCACCAGACAGTGTGGACGTCGTTGCCGAAGAAGCGCCCGCGGGCGCACCAAGTTCCGGGAGACGCGGCACCCGGTGTTCCGCGGCGTCCGGCGCCGGGGCAACGCCGGGCGGTGGGTCTGCGAGGTGCGCGTGCCGGGCGGCGCGGCTGCAGGCTCTGGCTCGGCACCTTCGACACCGCGGACGCCGCGGCCTGCGCGCACGACGCCGCCATGCTCGCCATCGCCGGCGGCGCGTGCTGCCTCAACTTCGCAGACTCGGCGTGGCTGCTCGCCGTGCCGGCCTCGGCCTCGTCGTACGCCAGCCTCGCCGACGTCCGCCGCGCCGTGGCGGAGGCCGTGGAGAGCTTCCTGCGACGCGAAGGGGCGGCCGCGGTGGTGGACGACGCGCGCTCGGCCGCGTCCTCGACGTCGTCATCCCCGGCCAGCGATGACGATGAAGCCGAGGAGTCGTCTTCGGCTACCGAGGATTCGCCGGCGTTCGAACTGGACGTGTTCAATGACATGAGCTGGGACTTGTACTATGCGAGCTTGGCGCAGGCGATACTCATGGAGCCACCGCCCACAGTCACCACCGCGTTCTGCGACGACGGCGTCGCCGAAGTGCCACTCTGGAGCTACTAGCTAGGACTAAAGACCGCTGTACTCCAATTTTTACCTTTTCTTTCTCTTCGCGTCCAATGCCAACAACTAGTAATGAGACAGAGCAGCTTTGGAAAAACAGAGCATGGCCGTTGACTTTCTAATGGTAGCGAAAAGCATTCGCTATTTGGAGCTTGTTATTATAGTGGTTGACCCTGAACTTGTCTACGAGTACGACTCTCATACAGTCTCAACTTAAAAATCGTCAATTTGGAGCCAATATAAGGCCCTGTTTAGTTTCGAAAAATTTTGGCTTTTGGCTACTGTAGTACTTTCGTTTTTATTTGGCAAAAATTATTCAATTATGGACTATTTAGGCTTAAAAGATTCGTCTCACGATTTCTCGGCTAACTGTGTAATTAGTTTTTTTTTCGTCTACATTTAGTACTCCATACATGTGCCGCAAGATTTGATGTGGCGAAGAATCTTGAAAATTTTTGGTTTTTGGCTTGGAACTAAACGGAGCCTAAGTTAATAGTGGTTGACCTTGAAGCTGCCAATGTAACCGCTAACGGCATGGAGGACAATTCAATAATTCGTCCCTGGTTCAAGTGGACACCTTTCCCATCTCACACAAGGTAGTTAGCGCGCTCAGTGTCCTGTATTTGATGAGTAGTACTCCGTACTTGTAGAATTGCGAGGCTCTGTTTGGTCAAAGCCTCCAAAGAATGCATGCGTTTTTTCTAAGGCCACAACCCACAAGCGAGGGTCAAGTGAGCATCCGTCTACCTGTTCAATTTGTACAGGAGGCACCTTAGCTTTGCGTGCCCATGACTCTTTGACGCTTGACAGTCAATCTGAACGTATGTCAGCAGTGATGCGGCGTAGAAATGGCAACGGCACGTTGACTGTTGATGGAGTATGCTTGAAGACTGTAGCACTCAACGCACGTGGTACATAAGTACTGGTAGATTCTTGCAGTGATAGTACAATCGTCAACATTTCTATTGACAGTTAGACAGAGCATGATTGGTTCACTTCTAAAATTTATCATGCCAAAGATTTGACAAGTCATGATTTTGGCTAGTATTTGGTTTGCTAGCAAAACTTGTCAAACTATCACATTTGTCTTGTCAAATTTATGGTAATTTTTTTACCTAAATTTTGGCTTGCCAAGTCTTTAGCATGGCAAAATTGGGAAGTGAACCAAACAGGTCCTAAACTCTTCAGTGCTCTACTGACTTTTCTGGAGGGAAAAAAAACAGAGAAAAACTTCCTCAGAGTTCTGATAGAGTTGAGGTGGGGGATTTCAGTTCAATCATCATGGTACTCGATTACTCGCATACGTACATCCGTTTCCTGCAATGGCTTGTTGTTCATTGTTTGTTTGTGCAGCTGGTATCCAGTCCAGTGTGACATTGGCACCACTAAAGTACAGGCGCGATTGGCAGTTAGCAATCAGAAAAGCCACCGTTACAGCTGTAACATCTCTGATCACAGCTTTTGCGCATGCGGTGATTATTTCTGTCTCGGTTCCCGTACCAGTGCTGCACGTTTTTGCACTGATAATTGGCCTGATAACCATGGCTGACACTACTGGTGGCTGATTTATCATAAGAGAAAAATATTGTTCGTTAACTGAAAAAATACGGCTTATAAGCCAAGCGAACAGGCCGAATATTTTTTCGGACCATCTGAACGTGTCACTTGTACTGTTGTACACACTAAAATAAGGGTGACCGGAGCTCGGGAGGTGCCCAAATATAATCCTGTACCCAACAGTATTGGAGGTCCCATACGTTAAAAAAAGCATGTTGCGTCCGTGTATCATAGTCCATGAAGTAGTAGGTGACTAGGTCCTCTTCGCTTTGTTTTATAATTCGTATTTTTCGACTTGTCTTTATAGCTGGAACAGTATTTTTTACTCACAACAAATTAGTCGGAACTATATTTTAGCTTATTTTTCAGCGAAACGAATGGAGCTTAAGCTAAGTAGTAGCATAATCCAACTTGGGCCGAAAGTGCATTTAGTTCAAAGAACCGAATAAAGAAAAACAATTTTTTATACAGATTACTGTACTAGGATACGTTCCCCTTGTACTAGTACTAGGATACAGATTACATTTTTTTATACCTTCCACTTGCGGCTAATCCCCTACCAGATTAGCACCGGCAGCATAAAAAAAAGAGTTATTCTACTGTCCAACCATGTGATTTATGTAGTTTCAGCACATGAATTTTTTTGCACCATAGAATTAAAATCCAACAGCCTCCATCCTCCTTCTATCTCCAGCTTTCTTCTACCTTCAGACAATCACAAATCACAAGATCACAAATCTACATATCACAAGAAACAATTTTTTTTTATATAGAGGGACAAAATGACAAATTGGCCGCACGTGTATACGCGTATAGGTTCCGTGCTAGCTGTGCGCGTGACCAAATTAGCTAAACGCCTAGACAGCTTGATTCTCCAGCACGGCCGGCCGGATTGATCTCATCCTCTCGTATACGCGTAGACAGTTAAAAAGAGAGAGGGAGAGAGAGAAAAAATCCATGTTTTTTTTTTTGCTAAAACATACGTGTGTTATATAATATTTCTGAAAAAAAAAATCAATGTTCAGGTTACATGCAAAGCATTCATCCATCCCGTCAGCCGCAGCAACTGGACCTGATCGGACTTCCACAACTTTGAACGGCTCCCACACTCTAATCAAGTGACCGGACTCAAAAAGTCCCCGAAGAGACGAGATAGAAAAGATAGTACACCGTTGCCCGTTCTCACCGTCTCTCGAGTCGCGACGTCGCCATCGCTGCGCATCGAGGCCGCGGATGGGCGGGCGGCGCCCTCTTGACCGGCCCAAACGGCGACGGGACTCTGCACCGCGAGCAGCACAGTGTGAGCACGGCTGGGGATCCGATCCGTGGGCGCCGAGAGGTACGGCCGCACGGGCAGCGTGGATGTGAGCGGACGCGCGACCGGACGACGAACCGATAGATCACCTTTGGCTTTAAAAAAGGTCGCCTTTTTCGCATTGATTGACGCTCGCGACTTGGTGGCTCTGTTTGTTTTTTCTTATAATTCATTTATTTATTTATTTATTTTGGTTGAAACATTATTTTTCTTTCATACTAAATCACCAGAAATAAGCGCTTAGGTTGTTTTTCAAATGAAGTTTAACAGAGCCGCTCTGGCCTCGGATGGGGACGCAATGGAGGGAAGGAAAGAGAAGGGAGGGAAGCACCTGCCACAGGTTGGACAAGCGGGTTTGATCGAGCCGAGAAACTTCCTTAGATATCAACATATCATAAAAAACAGTAATAATGAACATTTGTAGTATATCTTTCATTTTATATCTACTATAGCAAATGTGTTCATACGTTACAACAGAGACATAACTTGTTGCCTGGTCATTTGGATAGTCTAGGACTCCATACCAGCTCGAATGCTCACTGTGGTCGTTGTTCTAACTCGTATATAGATATGAAAAGTTTGGAGCTTTATTTGGCCGAGTCCCGTGATTTGTTGACTGCACTTTTGTGAGTTACAACTGCTTAGTTTGGGCATGCCATTGTCAATAACGATCGTAAATTTTCAAATTGAAATGATTTTTCTCTCACACAAACCAACCAATGATTTTCTTCACGAACCAACAACAAACGAACTCCATTTAACCAAAACAAAGTTGTTAGCCTCATAGCCGATGTCACAAATTCGGGTTAATTCGGTGTCGAACGTAACAGCATAGCTTTCAGTACACTAGGGAGGGTCCGAGCATATACGCATATCTCTTATGACCGCCTAAGGCGCTGTGAAGGCACGCGTTGTATTGAACTTTTCCTCTATCATAATATAAAAACGCGTAAATTTTTTTTTTTTTTTGTGATCGAAGAAAAAAATCAACCCGGTCCTTTCTCATGGCTAGCGCCTAGGCCAGTACTGTACATGGTATGTCGAATGCTCAGCATCAGTCTATGACGATCACCACAACTGCATCCTACGGACAGGCGAGTCTGACCAAAAAATTTTGACTTTAATGAGGCAATAATTTAAGCCCAAAGAGTACTAGTCATCAGTACGTCAGTCGCTTGTACTTACACTTCTTGAATTTATTATTGGACGGCGGGTCGGCGGCCTATCAAAGGCATCGTTTCTCTAAAGGGTCAACTGGTCAAGTACGACCCAAGTGACAAGCTAACCTCTGCGTACCTGTTCAACACTTCAACTGATGCAGGGGATGACCCCCAGGCCCCAGCTTTGCCTCGCTGGTCGCTGCCGATGCTGTTGACAGTGAATCTGAACACTCGTATCATATGTCAGCTCTGATTTCACGTCAGCTGTTGTCTGTTGACGGAGTAAACTGCGCCGGGGTCGCTGCCGCCGCCTGCTCGCGCGCCGGGCCGCCGCAGCGCGTGGTCGCCCACCATTCCGAACTGCCGCCGCCGGAGAGAACATAGATGATAGCTGAAAGGGGAAAATGAACGGGGAAGGAGATATGAGGGCGAATGTGGCTGGATCTAGGCCGAGATGGGGCTCTCCCATGGATTCTTCTCTGGTGACGGAAGGAGCTTCGATGAGGAAGGGGAGGATGCGAGAATACGAGCAATCCGGTGCGGCGGACAGGCAGAGGATGCGGCATCGTCTGCCGCAGCCCGACTTCACGAGGCAGCGGATCCCACCGCGGGGTTTCCAATCTTCAGCCTGTTCAGGAGGCCGTATCGTATCGTGGATTATTTACTGCTGGCTGGTTTGGTGTGAGAGAAAAACACTGTTCCCGACTGGAAATTTACGATCGTTTACGAGCAAGCGAACAACCTGCTTGCTGCCTCCACGCATCTGTCGGCTACGGCGGCGCATCCTGTCGTCTCGTCTGCAGCCATGCCTACGCAGGGGGCGAGATCTTGAAGAGAAGAGAAGGATCGATCTTTCTGTTGGTGCGGGCGTGTGCAGATGAGGATAGAAGCCTCTCGATGGGAAACGGACGAACGAGTGGACGAGAGCAACCCGTCGGTTTTTTTAATACCATTTTTGGACTCGTCCATGGAAAGAGCAATAAAATAATATAAATTTAGTGCTGCACGCCTGCAGTTCTCTGTCGGTTCCAGCTACTGCAGTTCAGCAGGCCTATGCGATCGATTAATTCGGGAAAAAAATTGAATTACAGAAGTGCAATTAAACCGGGACGGAGGGAGTACGTCACACGTGGTGTCCACGAGTATTGGAGGTCCAAAACATCACAGTAAGTATTATGTAACTCTCATCTCTGTTTATCTGTACATTGTTGGTCTATCTATACAAGCATCCCTGATTAAACAAGACAATCAACTTGGGCCGAAAGTGCATTCGATGGTTCAAAGAACCGAATAAAGAAAAGCCAGTTTTGCTTAAACAAAGCATATAAGTACAGATTAGTAGTACTAGGTGTAGGATACTTCCCCCTTCGTAGTTCGTGGTTCGTACCATCCAGTTGCAGGTGCTGGAGATAACCACCCACGGCCGATGCCAAAAGCCCAAAAGCGTGTGTAAACGGAGCGGACGGATAAGCTCGGACCGCCCGTTCGCGTCGCTGCCGCGGCGGACGCACCTTTCCGCATTGATGGCCGCGGGTTATGGGACGGACGATGAGTAGCACAGGTACACGCACCTGCACCTCCCACGACTTTGGCAGGCGGGATTGATTGATCGATCCGAACGCCCAAAAAGTAGGATTGTGTCCGCTTCCCCAGGAAGTCAACACGAGTCGCCATCTTTTCTTTCTGGCAAAAATGGCAAGTGGGATCAGTTCGCCGCCTGCAAAACAGCCGTCCATATCAAGATTACAATTTCGATCCTTTATGTGATTCGGGGGCGATACACCGCCGCCGCCAAAAAGCTCCCCGTCGGAGCGAGCCCTCGGCCGCCGTCGCTGCCCCCAACAAGGCTGCCGTCCGCAGTCCCCTACTTCCTCCACTCCCTCTCCCTTTCCTCTCTCCGAGCTTGCTCTTTTCCATGGTGGTCGGCGGCCGGAGTGGCCGGAGACGGGTCAGATCCGCGCTCTCCATGGCCGGATCCGGGAGCTGCCTACCTGGATCTGTGCACAGGGAGCCGGTGTAGCGCGAAGGTGGTGCTGGTGCGCGGCCTCACCATGACGGCGAGGCCTTGGAGAAGGAGCCTGGCGGTGGCCATGCCGTGGCGGCCTCCCGTGCGTGCTGGCCTGCCGCAGCAGCGGCCGGGTGGCCGGCGCTGTGGCCAGGCCCCCGCGTGCATCTGGCGCGCCTGGGGCTTCATCCAGTCCTGCCTTCATCTCGAAGCAGAGGCTTCACGGCGCCGTGCGTGTGCGCGTGCATCACCCTGGCGCCGGTGGCATCCGAGAAGGCAAGGATGGCAACGGCCGGGGAGCGGATTCGCCCCCCTGGCATCCGCATTCGGCAACAGCGCGCCGCCACCGACGGTCTCCTACGGCACGATGCAAGCCTGCTTCCTGGATGCGGTGGCCGAGTCCCCAGCTCTCCGCTGCTGTCGCCGGCGTCGGGCTGCAGCTTCCGGCAGCGGCGCATAGGGATTCGACGGAGGTTCCCGCGCCTGTAAGCTGCGTGCGGGGACCTCTGCAGCGTGGCGCGGCCGCACGCGCTAGAGCTGCGGACGGTGGGGTCCTGCCCTGGACTGCTCTCCCTCATGCCTGCCTCAACCCATGAGGCCTGGCCCAAGCTGCTGGGCGTAGCGGGCGCGGCTGCCAGCGGGGCCGGTCCAGACGGTGGCGGTGTTCATGGACGCCGTCGTGGCCGCCAGACACTGCAGCACGCACCGGCTTCGTTGGCAGCTGTGCGGCAGCGGTAGGCTCTGCCCGAGTGCCCTGGGCTCCCCAACGAGCCGCGACGACGAGCTGAGCGCGCCATGGTGCTCGCCGCTTGGGCGCAGCTAATGCGTTAGCGCACGGCCTGGTCGCAGTGTGGCCTGTTGCAGCTGGTGGTGGTGGTTAGCCAAGTCCGGCGTGCCGGGTTGGTATGGAATCTGGGGGTAAGCCTTATCCGGCCTTGCTCCGGTCCGGCGACGATGGCGCACCTGGCGTCATGCCCCTCCCTGAGGCGTCGTTGAAGATACTGCTACCTGCTCGACAGAGCTGCGTCCTTGGGTGAAAGCCCCCCTGCTTCGGCCTACGACGGTGGCGTCTGTGGATTGTGGATGTCACTTTCCTTGTTGAAGGCGTCGTTACCTGCGGCCATCTATGTCCCCGACACCACTCTGAGCGCCACTCTGAACTCTCCCTGTCCTCTCCACCCCCTCCAATCCCTTTCCTTTCTCGGTGTGTGCCTCCATGCTCCTTGCTCCCCTCTTGGGTGAGACTGGCCCTGGCTGTCGGTCATTGCTGATTTTTCGACAAGTGTCCTCCTCTGGTGTCTCTGCTCCGTCGGCGCTCGCCTTGATGGTGCCAGAAAATCTAATGCCGGGTGGTGTTTCCACCGCTGCCACCATTCCCCTCCAAGGTTTCCTCCCCGTGGACGGCGTTGAATGGGGGTACGTGGGCCCGGAAGTGTTGTAGGTGTCGCTATCAGTTTCAAGGGAGGTCGTCGTGTCCGGTGATCTTGGGCTTGCGTGTTCGTCACCACTCTTAGTCCCCATTCCAGTGGTTGGTCCTCAGATGGAGGGCGACAACGGAGCGGCGTAGCTACGAGGAGTGGTGCAGGGCACGATGGCCATGGCGAAACCGGCGAGTATGCTGTTCGGCGGTGGCGCAAATCGACGATCGGTTGGCGTCTCTCGGCTTGCATCTAGGATTACTCTTGTTGCTGTACTGTTGTTGTTGTCTCTGTTAAGTGTTGTTGTAACCCCCCCTCTCTCTCTCTCCCTCTTTCATGTACTTCTTTGACCTTTAAGGGTCGACCCCATATATTAGGTGCTTTGCACCCTTCCACCCACCGGCTTGCCAGGATTTGTGAAAATAAAAATCAAGCGGAGACAAATCGTCCCCCGTTGCCTTTAAAAAACAATTTCGACCGAAAGTGCTGAAATGTAAAAAAAAAGGCTTGAAATTTGAAGTTCAAGTTCATTTTTCAAGTTGAAAGGGAAAAATATGCTGACCTCAACGTTTTCTGACTCTCAAAGTTTGACGGCCGCAATCTTCATTCCCCATTCCTTTTCTTGCATAGAAGAGTCATTCTTAATTAGTCGAGGTGAACGGGGCGTGTTTAAATCTCGACATGATATTATTTATATTTTTGTAAATTTATTAAGAAAGAATCATGTTATTATTGTAGTAGAAGATATGAACATCGACAGCGAGATCCCTTAAATGACTTTGTCAATCTTAATATGCTACTACATGCCCTCATAAGATTCGGCCTGTTCGCTCATTACCGATAAAAATACCGAAAGTAATGTTGGTGATTTATTGTCGAAAAAAATATTATTCGTTGGTGAAAAAGACGACTTATACGTCTAAGCGAAACAGGGCCATTGAGTGTATCAACTATACGAGGGCATCCACGTGCGGATAAAAACTCTGAATTAATTGATGAGACACACCAGCTTTTTCATTGATTGAACACAAGTTTCCCAACCATAGTGCACCAGAAATGGAATAACTGCGGCCATTTCTTTTCCTTTATCATGAAACAAGGGTGACATTTGTTTTTTTCTTATATACAAAGAAAAGAGAGGAGACTGCTACTACTAGCATTTTCGTTATCAAGTCACTGTCGAAATCTCCTGTTGCCTGCCCACTTGCAAGCTGCAAGTTGCATCCCCGGCCTTACCAGATCCAGATGCAGCCCCTTGCTTTCTTCTCCAGCTCGGCCAAGCCCACTGGCTGCCCTCCCGCGTTTTTTTTTACTCTGTTCAGCTAAGCTGACTGCTACTGCTGCTCTCTGTTCCAACCTCCAGCCACCACCTATAAATATGCGTCCTCAAATCCGCTCCCATCGCAAAAACCACTCGAACACAACTCAAGCAGGACCAAAGGCCCCTACACTATCCGACGCTCAAGCAGAGAAGGGATCACAAGAGAAGATGTGCCCAATCAAGAAGGAGATGATCGGAGAGTCGAGCTCGCCATACAGCTCGGCGTCAGCCTCGACCTCATCGGAGCACCACCAGACGGTGTGGACGTCGCCACCGAAGCGGCCCTCGGGGCGGACCAAGTTCCGGGAGACGCGGCACCCAGTGTTCCGCGGCGTCCGGCGCCGGGGCAGCGCCGGGCGGTGGGTGTGCGAGGTGCGCGTGCCGGGGAGGCGCGGCTGCCGGCTCTGGCTCGGCACCTTCGACACCGCCGAGGCCGCGGCCCGCGCGCACGACGCCGCCATGCTCGCCATCGCCGGCGCGGGCCGCGCCTGCCTCAACTTCGCTGACTCGGCCTGGCTCCTCGCGGTGCCGGCCTCGTACGCCAGCCTCGCCGAGGTCCGTCACGCGGTCGCGGAGGCCGTGGAGGACTTCCTGCGCCGTGAGGTGGTGGTCCCAGACCAAGAAGACGACGCGCTCTCGGCCACGTCCTCGACGCCGTCGTCCCCGTCCAGCGACGACGGCAACACCTCTGATGCCGGGGAGTCTTCTGAATCTGATTTCTCTCCTCCCCCGGGCCTCGCCGTTCGAATTGGACGTGTTCAATGACATGAGCTGGGACCTGTACTACGCGAGCTTGGCGCAGGGGATGCTCGTGGAGCCGCCGTCCGCGGTCACGGCGTTCATGGACGAAGGCTTCGCCGATGTGCCACTCTGGAGCTACTAGAACCGACTCTTAGGCCGTTGTACACTGAATGTTTCCGTTTCTTTGTTTGGCCTCTGATGGCTAATTTTGGCAGTGTAACGGTTACTTCTTTTGGTAATGAGACAGAGAAGTTTGGGAAACATCAAAACAGAGCATGCCTATTGCCATTTTATGACTAAAAAAAATCCTCTTTTAGCACTTACAATGATACTATGGTTTTCTAACTTAAGCTTTGCACTTCGTACTAAGGATGCAATAGGAGACCCTGTTCGCTTGGCTGATAAGCCATAGCTGAAACTACTGTTGGCTGATTTATTGTGAGAGAAAAATATTGTTCGTTGGCTGAAAAAGTACGGCTTATAAGCCAAGCGAACAGGGCGTATAAGCCGTACTTTTTTAGCCAACGAACAATATTTTTCTTTCACAACAAATCAGCTAATAGTAATTTCAGCCATGCTTATCAGCCAAACGAATATGACAAAAGCCACGAGGGTCTTCGTTGACTGTTCCAAGTTGAAAGAGAGTTGGGAGAATCCACTTCACACGTTGCCAAAAGGAGTAGCAAACGAAGTTGTATAGAAATAAGTAGGAGTAGATTTTGCTTTCGAAGTAAATAGATAATTTTAGTTTTGGTCCATGAATCCTATTTAGATAATCAATAGATTTGCTATGATGGCTTTTCAAAAAAAAAAGATGCTTATAACTAGTTATTAAACTAAACTAAATATGTGGAGACCAGAATTATTTGAGCCTTGGGAAGCATGCAACTGGGACTTCACTATCACCCAATGGTGGTTATACTAGTGTTTGACCCTCAACTTGTCTGTCTCATATACTGTTGACTTCTTTTTTATATGGCTTCAAGTGAGCGCCCGCCCATTCAGCCCTTGTTTAGTTCGCGAAATTTGGATTTTGGGGGCTACTGTAGCACCTTCGTTTTTATTTGGTAAATAGTGTTCAAACATGGACTAATTAGGCTCAAAACGTTCGTCTCGCAATTTCCCACCAAACTGTGCAATTAGTTTTTCTTTTCGTCTACATTTAATGCTCCATGCACGGGCCGCAAACATTCGATGTGACAGGTACTGTAGCAACTTTTTGGAAGTTGAGGTGGAACTAAACAAAGGCCTCAATGGAAACAGGGGACGACCCTCGCCCGTGCAGCCGTGCTCCGTTGACAGTCAGTCAGAACACTCGCATGTCAGCAATGATGCTGCACACAGGGGCAACAGCACGTCAACCGTTGACAGAGTAAACTCGGTGACAACAGTATTACGCAGTCAGTTGCGTCAAGGCACGCAGACTGACAGAGTCACGAACAATGCCATATTCGTAAAAACGGTAATTTCAGCACCCAACGGAATGTCCACTGAGTTCTTTTCCTCGGTTGCAGTGATGCAGCGTGACGAAGGAACGATTAACCCGTTGAAATCCTCAAGTGGCAGTGTGACAAGGGAATCAAGATCTGTTCAGATTCAGTGTGACAATCCGTTGAGTCGATCGGCACAGCTGTAACACCTCTAATCACAGCTTACGCCTAAGGTGATTGTTTCTGTCGCGACTCCGTAGGGTGTTCAGTTCTGCACGTTTCTTCTTCAGTTGTCTGTCTATCAGAAAACTGCAAAGAAATCTTCCAGCCGTCCCGTCCGGATCCAGGCCAGAAGCGCGTGTGCACGTCGCGTCGCTGCCTGCTACGGCGTAGTACGCACCTCCCGCGACGCCGCGCCCCCAAGCCGCAACTGGACTAGAATACTCCACTCTCCTTTAGGCCTTTCCGCTTTGAAGCGAAGGCCGTGACGCGAGCGACGACGACACAGGTGAGTGAGCGACTGGGTGGGGGTCGCCAACTCGCCATGGTTGCGACGGCGCGGAGTGCGGAGGCATCCTCCGTCCGTCCTCCCACAAGTTGGGCAAGAGGGTACTACTATGCATTGAACGAGCCGGACGCACCAAAAGCAGTGTGTTTGTCTGCTTGCCTTGCCCGGGAACTCGGAACAGAAGTGGCAAGCGGCAGGACTGTGGGATCGGGACTGCGGCGACGCATTCGCCGCACGCGGTTCAGGTGCGGGAGCTTCCCGGCGGCTGCGGCTGCTGCTGCTGCTGCCCGCTTTGTGATACCGATACCGTGGGTGGTTTCGAGATGGTGTTATCAAGGAATACTTTTCTCTTTCAGTTGATTGTATGTGTGTGACTCAATCTGGTCCAGTCTGGCCGTAAGAATTGCTATAGGATTTTCACGGTTAAGGTTCTGTTTTAAAATCCATTTTTTTTTAAAAAAAATCCTGCATTAATCGGGTAACTCGAATGGCCCCTTCTACTTCAAAGGCTTGGTGCCCAACTGCCCATGCACCAAAATCAAAGTCACTCGAAGCAGAACGCGACCAGCAGCATAATTCCAAATCTTTCTTGAGAGATACTACTACTATAGATGTCATGCATTTCACTGAGAGGAAATTCAATCTTGATTAAATGACGAGAAACATAAGCTTTTTATTCGACGTGCTGACCACACTGACTCTCTAGATACACGGCACGGAGTCCCAACTCTCAAACAGCACATGCTCCGAGCTACACTGAACCAAAGACCTAACCTTATGTTCGTCTGGCTTATAAACTGTACTTTTTCAGTCAACGGACAATATTTTTCTCTCACAACAAATCAGTCAATAGTAGTTTCAGCCATAGCTTATCAGCAAGCAAACAGAGCATAAATTGCTAACTGCAACAAGTTGTTTTCTTTATCCACAAGCAAGAGCAATATTTGTGCGGTGCAGCAATATTTGTGGTTGTGCTCGGCTGTTATTCTACAGTGGCTGCAGCCGCTGCTGTATATTTGTGCGGTGCAGCAATCTTACCATTATTTATTCTAAAGAAAGAACAAGAGTGGGATTTGACAAGCCCACAAAACCGTTGTAGGTTTACGAGAGACGGAAACCGTTAGCGGAAGCAAAAGCAGTCTTGTGGTTGTACTCGCGCCGTACCGATAGATCTAAATGAATAAGAATAATGAAAACATCAGGTCACTCTCGAAGCTGCTGCAAGTTGCGTCCTCGGCCTTACCCAGATGCGTCCCCCCCTTTCCTCTGCTTGCTTTCTCCAGCTGTGTGCTCCCTTCCCGCGTTTTATCCCCTGCATCCGCCACCGCCTATAAATATGCGCCCGCAAATCCACCATCGCATCGCAAAACCACTCACTCGAACACAATTCAAGCAGCTGCAGAGATTACCAGTCACCACAACAACATCCACTCGAGAGGTAGCTAAGCAATCGTTCCACAGGCGATCCAGAGCAAGATGTGCCCGATCAAGAAGGAGATGAGCGCCGAGTCGTCGGGCTCGGCGAGCAGCTGGGCTTCAGCCTCGCCCTCGACCTCGTCGGAGCACCAGACCGTGTGGACGTCGCCGCCGAAGCGGCCGGCGGGGCGGACCAAGTTCCGCGAGACGCGGCACCCCGTGTTCCGTGGCGTCCGGCGCCGCGGCAACGCCGGGCGGTGGGTGTGCGAGGTGCGCGTGCCGGGGAAGCGCGGGTGCAGGCTCTGGCTCGGCACATTCGACACCGCCGAGGCGGCGGCCCGCGCGCACGACGCCGCCATGCTCGCCATCGCCGGCGCCGGCGCGTGCCTCAACTTCGCCGACTCGGCTTGGCTCCTCACGGTGCCGGCCTCGTACGCAAGCCTCGCCGAGGTCCGCCACGCGGTCGCCGAGGCCGTGGAGGACTTCCAGCGCCGCGACCTCGAGGCGGCGGCCGCCGGGGACGACGACACGTGCTCGGCCACGTCGGCGGCGGCGGCGTCCACCTCATCGGGCAACGAGGACGACGACGCTGCCACGGACGGTGAGGAGTCGTTGCCGGCCACGGAGGACTTGTCGCCGTTCCAGCTGGACGTGTTCAATGACATGAGCTGGGATCTGTACTACGCGAGCATGGCGCAGGGGATGCTCATGGAGCTGCCGTCCGCAGTTCCGGCGTTTGGTGACGACGGCTACGCCAATGTCGCCGACGTGCCACTGTGGAGCTACTAGAATTGAGGACGTTGACATCTTATAAATTTCCTGATTTTTATTTTCTGTTGGCTATCTATGCCAAATTTTGGGACTGTAGTGGTTACTACTATTGGTAATGAAAACGGAGCAAGTTCGGAAAAGCAAAACAGAGCATGCCCCTGACTCCCCCAAAACAGAGCACGAAACAGAGGATGTTGGTAGCCTGAACCTATTCCCATTTCCCACTAACGACGAGTCTTCATAAATTTCCTGACTTTTTATTTTTCTGTTGGCCATCTATGCCAAATTTTGGGACTGTAGTGGTTACTACTATTGGTAATGAAACCAGAGCAAGTTCGGAAAAGCAAAAACAGAGCATGCCCCTGACTCCCCAAAACAGAGCAAGTTTTTTTTGTTTGACAACATGAAACAGAGGAAGTTGGTAGCCTGAAGCCCTGAACCTATTCCTACTAACGGCAAGTATTCATAAAGAAGGCAGTTGGCAAAGCATCTCCATTGGGCTTTCTTAAAACCAATATCTAAATTCTCATTTAGACATTCTCATAAAAATTCTACATCTCTTCGATAATTTCCTTATATTTTGTTCGACACTTTGGAGAGTTGGCTCTACTCTCTATCCTCAATGAGAGGGAAAGCAAAAACAAAGGATGGAAGTATTTAAAAATTTTGTTGAAAAAAATTATTGGCAGGATCTGTTTTCCCCAAAAAATATATGTTTCTACCAATACGAAAATATATAAAAAGGTTTTTGGAGTTCCTTGAACATCATGAAACGTCCGTTTAGACTAGATCAAATGCCTGGTAAGGTCGACTTGAGTTAAAATTTAAAAATATTTGACTCATGAACGAGTGAGATACTCCGTATATATTTAATTTATTTTAGTAGCGGATTCAGATTTCGATGCCACGTTCAGCCCACACAGTTCTGGGGGTTCTCCAAAATGCAAGGACGAATCCCGAGCCACTAATAATTAACTATTTCAAAAAAACAGTATGCATGTCGCCATCAAGACGTCGAGACAACTGTTATCGTCCATGTCTATCCTATACGGAGTAGTGCGTGAAAAAAAAAATTGAGGCCTTATTAGATTGCATGTTTTTTTACTCTCTCTCCATCACATCAAATCTTTAGACACATGCATGAAATATTAAATGTAGATAAAAAAATAACTAGTTACACAGTTTGATTGTAAATTACGAGATAAATCTTTTAAACCTAGTTAAACTATAATTAGACAATAATTATTAAATACAAACAAAAATGCTACAATACCAAATACTAATTCCTAACCCCCTGTCTAAACAGACCCAAGTTGAGCAAGCGGCAGCGGTTAGCTGGAGCACGGTAGCTACCGCGCGACAACAACAGCCAGCAGCCAAAAACCCACTGCACGGAAGCTGCCTGCCTGCCTCGGCGCCTCCCCAGCCACAAAAAAATCGGCCTCCGGAAGCCCCAAGGGGCAAAACCGCGAAAGGCAACGCGAAAACGGAGGCCGGAAAGCCGTACGGGGCGGAGAAAAATCGGGCGGTCCCATCTAAGTCTCAGCCCAGGCAGATATTTCCGCGGCTGTGGCTCACTCGGGTCGCCGCCCCTCGTCAGCGGGCGCTACGACGGGACAGGTTCATTATCCGCATCTATCCGGTCGAGGATTCGCGTCGTGCTCAGCAGCTGGTCCCCCGGAGATAGGGAAGAAAGGCGTGCGGAAACTGAAAACGCCTGCGGACTGCGGGCCGGATACGGATAAGGAAACGATTGTCGCTGTTTTTTTTTTTGAGCTGCGGGCTGGATACGGTTAAGATAACGACTGTTGCTGGTTTTTTTTTTCCTATCAAGGAGCTCCCCCGATATATGGAGATAGGAGAGATTCAGCATGTGCATTAGCTTAGGCTCACTGGATCCAGTTTGTTTGGAGCTGGTTCCATTACTTTACTCAGAAGTCTGTGCTACCAGTAGACTTATATTGTTCACGCTTATTTTAACGTCACGATGACGCGGAGGTACCGATGGTTCCTCTAGGCTTGAAATCGGAGATTAATTGAGGTGTTACGATCAATAAACTAATACCGTGTCCCTGGTAGTTTTAGCTTCCTTATCTTCGAACGTTGGAATTTGACAAAATTTTGTATTTCCGCGGCTGTGGCTCACTCGGGTCGCCGCCCCTCATCAGCATCTATCCCGTCGAGGATTCGCGTCGTGCTTAGCAGCTGGTCCCCCGGAGGCAGGGAAGGAAGGCATGCGGAAACTGGAAACGCTTGCGGACTGCGGGTCGTGGGCTGGATATAGTTAAGGAAACGACTGTCGCTGGTTTTTTTCTATCAGGGAGCTCCCCGGTATGGAGATTGGAGAGATTCAGCATGTGCGTTAGCTTAGGCTCACTGGATCCAGTTTGTTTGGAGCTGGTTTCATAACTTTACTCAGAAGTCTGTGCTACTAGTAGACTTGTATTGTACGCGCTGATTTTTACGTCACGATGACGTGGAGGTACCGATGGTTCCTCTAGACTTGAAATCGGAGATTAACTGAGGTGTTACGATCGATAAACTGATACCGTGTCCCTGGTAGTTTTAGCTTCCTTATCTTCGAACGCTTGAATTTGACAAAATTTTGTATTTCCACGGCCGTGGCTCACTCGGGTCGTCGCCCCTCGTCAGCGGGCGCTACGATGGGACGGGTTTCGTATCCGCATCGATTCGGTCGAGGATTCGCATCGTGCTTAGCAACTGGACCCCCACAGACAGGGAAGGAAGGCGTGCGGAAACTGGAAACGCCTGCGGGCTGGATACGGTTAAGGAAACGACTGTCGCTGGTTTTTTTTTCTATCAGGGAGCTCCCCCGATATGGAGATTGGAGAGATTCAGCATGTGCGTTAGCTTAGGCTCACTGGATCCAGTTTGTTTGGAGCTGGTTTCATTACTTTACTCAGAAGTCTGTGCTACTAGTAGACTTGTATTGTACGCGCTGATTTTTACGTCACGATGACGTGGAGGTACCGATGGTTCCTCTAGGCTTGAAATCAGAGATTAACTGAGGTGTTACGATCGATAAACTGATACTGTGTCCCTGGTAGTTTTAGCTTCCTTATCTTCGAACGCTTGAATATGACAAAATTTTGTATTTCCGCGGCTGTGGCTCACTCGGGTCACCGCCCCTCGTCAGCGGGCGCTACGACGGGATGGGTTCCGTATCCGCATCGATTCGGTCGAGGATTCGCCTCGTGCTTAGCAGCTGGCCCCCCAGAAACAGGGAAGGAAGGCGTGCGGAAACTGGAAACGCCTGCGGGCTGGATACGGTTAAGGAAACGTCTGTCGCTGGTTTTTTTTCTACCAGGGACCTCCCCCAATATGGAGATTGGAGAGATTCAGCATGTGCGTTAGCTTAGGCTCACTGGATCCAGTTTGTTTGGAGCTGGTTTCATTACTTTACTCAGAAGTCTGTGCTACTAGTAGACTTGTATTGTACGCGCTGATTTTTACGTCACGATGAGGTGGAGGTACCGATGGTTCCTCTATGATTGAAATCGGAGATTAACTGAGGTGTTACGATCGATAAACTGATACCGTGTCCCTGGTAGTTTTAGCTTCCTCATCTTCGAACGCTTGAATTTGACAAAATTTTGTATTTCCGCGGCTGTGGCTCACTCGGGTCGTCGCCCCTCGTCAGCGGGTGCTACGATGGGACGGGTTCCGTATCCGCATCGATTCGGTCGAGGATTCACGTTGTGCTTAGCAGCTGGCCCCCCGGAGACAGAGAAGGAAGGCGTGCGGAAACTGGAAACGCCTGCGGGCTGGATACGGTTAAGGAAACGAGTCTCACTGTTTTTTTTTCTATGAGAGAGCTCCCCCGGTACGGAGATTGGAGAGATTCAGCATGTGCGTTAGCTTAGGCTCACTGGATCCAGTTTGTTTGGAGCTGGTTCCATTACTTTACTCAGAAGTCTGTGCTACTTGTAGACTTGTATTGTACGCGCTGATTTTTATGTCACGGTGACGCGGAGGTACCGATGGTTCCTCTAGGCTTGAAATCGGAGATTAACTGAGGTGTTACGATCAATAAACTGATACCATTTCCCTGATAGTTTTAGCTTCCTTATCTTCGAACGTTTGAATTTGATAAAATTTTGTAATAGATTCGTGGACTCTGAAAGTACAAAATATTACAAACACAAAATCGTAAGATGCTATATAGAAAGTAAGTGATCTATTTTCAATTTTACTCGAAGCTATAAGATGGTTTTTATAAATGATACTGTATATTTATTTATTTAGGTTTCTTTCAGTACCAAGATGGCAAGATCCATCGTTCCCTGAATCCTCTGTATGGCTGTACTCTCACACTCATCATCACAGGGAAAAAGAAAGAAAGACAGAATAGAAGAGAAAGAAAACCATCACTCACTTCCCATCAGGGTCCGGTTTTCTTCTCCAGCTTCCACTGTCCACTCCACTGCAGTGCAGCACTCCTACAAAAAAACACTGTCAAGCATAGGGCTGCGCGGCATATTCCCCCAGCCGGCCAGCCCCCACACGGCCCCAGCATCAGATATCAGATTAAAAAAAGCGTCCCAGCAGCTGAAACATATTTTTAGTACCCAGGCTCCCAAAGAATCTACTGGCACCAGCTGTTTCCTTTGCCGCGGCCAGCCGCCCGATCCCCGCCCCGTCGCCGTTCGTCACCATGGCTTCTCCGCGTGGGAACACCAACATCGCAGGCATACCTATAAATACGCCTCACAAAACCACACGCTCCACACAGCTAGCACTCAGCTCAAGCTCGAGACAAGGAACCAGCTCACTCCGCCTCCCCTCCCACAGCAAGCTCAAGCAGGCAGCCACCAGCAGGGATCAGCAGCTGCAGCCATGGACATCATGGGCCAGCTCCAGCAGCACGCGACCTCCTCGTCCTCCACCTCGACCTCGGCGTCGTCGTCCTCGTCCGAGCAGAACATCAAGGAGGTCTGGTCGCCGTCGTCCTCGTCCTCCCCGCCGCAGCCGCTCAAGAAGCGGCCCGCGGGGCGAACCAAGTTCCGGGAGACGCGGCACCCGGTGTTCCGCGGCGTGCGGCGCCGGTGGGTGTGCGAAGTGCGCGTCCCGGGGAATCGCGGCGCGCGGCTGTGGCTGGGGACCTACCTCGCCGCCGAGTCCGCGGCGCGCGCGCACGACGCCGCGATGCTCGCCCTGCTGGGCCGCGGCGCCGGCGCCGGCGCGGGGCGCCTCAACTTCCCGGACTCCGCGTGGCTGCTCGCCGTGCCGCCGCCGTCCGCGCTCTCGGGCCGTCGCGGAGTTCCAGCGCCGCTTCGGGGCAGCAGCCGGTGGGTCCGTCGTCGACGAAGCGACCTCGGGCGTGTCTCCTCCATCGTCGTCGTCACTGCAGGGCATTTCCTCCGTCTCGCCGGCGCCGGCGACGGAGCTTGAGCAGGTATCTGCGAAGGCCGGTGAAACGGCTGCGGCGTTGGACGGCGACGTGTTCGAGCCCGTCGACTGGTTCGGCGATATGGACTTGGAATTGGATGTGTACTACGCCAGCCTCGCGGAAGGGCTGCTCGTTTGTGAGTTTTGAGTTTTGACTGTAACATGTGATGGTCCAAGTAACGAGCAAGCGGTAGATGTCTTTCATGCAGCTAGCGGCTGTCCGGTCCCAGTGAGCGATCCAGAAGATGTGGCTGCTGTGTACTCTGGCACTTCCGACCGAGTCTGGTCATGGGCTCCGCCGGTTGAAGCGCAAATGCAACGCTGCGGAGGCGAACTTTGAATCTTCTCCCTGACTGTCTGCCAACAAAATGCTTCCAGTTGCGCGAGCTGTCGCTTCAATGGGCGAATGGAAAGCAGCCACGCTCTTTTTTTTTCTCACAACGCGGTAACTTGACAAACTGACAACGACTCAACAAGCACTTCTCAATTCTCAGCTCTCGTCGCCTCTTTCCTCGATCCTATGTGGCCAACAGCCGAGGCTGGATCACCTCCATATTTTAAGATGGCAGTTCGTTCAGGGTCTTGAACAGCAAAGACTGCCTTTTGATTCCTGTGAGTATAATATCCGACAGTATCACGATCCAGTGGCAATTTTGCTTCGACTGTATGTTCTCTACAAGTTCTTTTTAGCTCACATATTTTAGTCCAGTGGCGGATTAGGATGAAAGTTTAGAAGGGCTGAAGTTCTTTTCTTCCAAGCAGCAAAAATTCTTGAAGGGTCCTGGAGGGCTACAGGGCATGAGCCCCAGTCTCATCTCGTGGCTCTGCGTATGCAGGCCGTAGATCAAGGCCCTGTTTAGTTGTACTCCAAAATGCCAAGTTTTTCAAGATTTCTCATCACATCGAATCTTTGGACGTATACATAAAGCATTAAATATAAATAAAAAATAAAACTAATTACACAGTTTAGACGAAATCTACGAGACGAATCTTTTAAGCCTAATTAGACTATAATTGAACACTAATTGCCAAATAACAACGAAAGCGCTACAGTAGCGTTTTGCCAAAAATTTTGACATCCAAACTGGCCCCAAGTCGAGTCACGGCCAGGTCAAGTCATGTGTAACTTCTCCAACATGGTTGCAGAAGTACCATGCGGAGCGGAACAACAGAGACAAACCGATTAATCCTCTCTCTTCTGGCCTATGGCACCAAAACCAAAATTAGTGTCCCAGTTCCAGACTGATGAACATTCACTCCAAGCAAGTGGCGTGCTAGACCCACATGCATCATTATTCATTCACTTTTTTTTAAACAAACGGGAGAGAGAGAGCAGCCTCCAGCTAAACAATGGAGGTAGCAGTCAAGTTACAGGAGCGGAGGTACAAACGCCAATGCTTCAGGCCAGCGAATTGGTTAGTTGATCCAGCTTAATTATAATAGACGACGAGAGATTTTACTAGCAAATAAGCATCAAAATGAGTCCGTAAAAACTTTCAAGCTAGGCACCATAAGATAGAACATGATTTTAGCGAAAACAAATCTAAAACTAGTTTCATAGATTTTTTTAAGGAAAAACAAAATTTCTAAGAATTTTTAAGATTTGGCCAAATTTTAGGATTTTTTATAGCATTATTTTTTCTTGAAAAATATTTGGATATTTTTTGAAAATTTATTTTTATGATTTTTGTATATATTTTTAAAAATATTTATAGTCTTACCTTCTTGAACTTCCAGCTTAGTACGATTTACCTCTCTGACGTGGTGCAAAATCAGCAAAACCACCCAATTAGTAATAAATGATTTTAAAAGTTGAAGGGGCTAAATAAAAACTAGTGTTATAGTTCCGAGAGAAAAATCGAACAACTGCGATAGTTGAGTATCGGAAGACGGGAAGACCAAGGCCCTGTTCGCTGGTGGGTGCTGGTACTGGTTTGGGCTGGTTAGTGCTGGTTTTTTATGAGAGAAAAATACTGTTGGCTGACTGGTTTAGACTGGCTAAAACAAACAAGCGAACAGGCTGCAAGTGTCCAATCAAACCGCCGTTTTCGACCGACCAAGCGGAGGACGACAAGCTGAGCATCCATCAAATGGCATCGACGGTCGTGATAAGGTGCTAGGTCCTCATCTGCATCACCCATGCATAAACTTTTCGTCCTCATCTCTACTCATGGACACGGAAAGAAACTACGGTGGCATGGACGTTCACATCTAGATGGTCAGCGAAGCCTCAGACCTTCAAGATCTTCTCTCAGTCAACCGAGAAACCGCAACATGGTGGTAAACCCAGCAAAGAGATGCTGTACGCGAATTGCACCCAGGTCCCAGGCGAACAGCTTTGAAAAGTAAACGGAGACCTGCAGACCACACGCCATGCAACTGCTAACAGTCGCTGACCGCCGGACCCCGCCACCGCCATGGTGGCTGACTCGGACCGCCACGCACGCACGCCGTCCCTCCAAGCTGTCTCGTTTTCCACTTCCAGCTAATCGCCTGCCTCTCACTCCCCGCGGCACTGACGACCAGTCGTCACCAACTTGCCACTTGCCCATGGCTATATATACTTTCCCGGCCGCCTTCCGCTCCCTCCATCCAAGTCCGAGCTCCACTGCTCCATCGATCCCAGCTCGACCACGACCAGGGCTACCGCACATACTAGATACTACTACCAAGCTGCTGATCTTCAGCGAGTCTGCAATGGACACACACACACCCTCGCCATCGCCGTCGTCGTCTGCGGAGCACAAGGAGTACAGGACGGTGTGGTCGGCGCCGCCCAAGAAGCCGGCGGGACGGACCAAGTTCCGGGAGACGCGGCACACTGGGGCGGTGGGTGTGCGAGGTGCGCGTCCCCGTGGGGCGCGGGTCAAGGCTCTGGCTCGGCACCTTCGCGACGCCCGAGCTGGTGGCGCGCGCGCACGACGCCGCCGCCATCGCGCTGTCACGCCGCGGCGCCTGCCTCAACTTCGCGAACTCAGCGTGGCTGCTCCCGCCGCTGATGCCCGCCGCGCTGTCGGCGCCAGAGCTGGCCAGCGCGCGGGAGCTCAAGGACGCCGTGGCCGAGGCGTCGAGGCGTTCCGGCGGCGCTCGGTGGCCGAATCGACGCTGTCGTTGCGGGCGAAGGATACTGCCGACGACGAGCTGGAGGAGGACGATGTTGATTCCTCGCCTGGCGCGGTGCCTTCGAACGAGGCCGTGTTCGAGTTCGAGGACGTGTTCAGGTTCGGTGGCATGTCTGATGCCGGATCGTACTACGCGAGCCTGGCGCAGGGGCTGCTCGTAGACCGGCCGGACGCCGCCGGCGCGTGGCGGGAGGACGTCGAGCATGGCACCACTGACATTGCACTGTGGAGCCACTAGCGCACTAGTAATATGCTTCTGACAAATTTCAGACGGTTGTGATGGATTTTGCAATTTTAGATTCAGCATCGTATTGTTGTTGCTCATGCTTATTCCTGTTCCTATAATTCTGGAATTTATAATATGTAAATGTGTTTGTTTTAGAAATAAAGAAGAATAGCGCGGCACTATTTGAAAGGTCTTGACATTGGTAGATTGCCTATTTGAAACTTAGGTTTGGCGCCTTCTATGTCGTGGCTATTCCTTGTAGTGGTCGACGTACTCTTTTAGCCGTAAACGACGTACTCATAGCTATAGTTCGTCACATTAGTTTTGCATATGGATGTAGTATGCAGCTATGCATACGGGAATCTACTCATGGCTACTGCCTGTGATGGCTTCACCACATAATTCTCAAGATCACCTGGTCTCATGTAGGCGTTCATATAGATATAGTATGCATATGTCCGATCTCGAAAAAAAAATTAAACCCATCTCGAAAGATATATTATGCATATGTGTATTTGTAGGGTTGAGTTATAAATGTCTTCTGTTTACACTACGTTTGAAAAAAAATCTAAGATATACTTAAGAAGACTTCAAAATTTCGGTGAAATTCTAGCAAATTCATGAATCCATGTCAACCAAAAAAAATGTGTTAACATCTAGCCTAGTGGAAAGTTTTCAGCTCCACATTCTAGGAGGTGTAGGGATCAAATCGTTAGCCATTTTTTCCTTTTGTGAAATTTGAACACAATAAAGTCAACTGACTTATTTTACTTTTGATCAAAATATTTGAATTATAGTAATTTCAGCTGCTAAAAATATACAGACTAAAATTTGAAGAATGCTTAAGTGTCACGGTGCTAAGCCTACTTGGTTAACTTGGCAAATTTCGGGTGTTCAGTTAATTATGTTCATACATGGTAAGTCAGCAGTTTGATCAAAACGGAGTAACGTCAAGCATTCCCATTCGTTATTTTGACTAGAGGTGGGACTTGGACAATGCCATGCTTAGACATGGTAAGTCAGCAACTGCAAATGGAGTAATGTCAAACATTCTCGTTGGTTAGTCGTTATTAGAGGTGGAACTTAGGTCACGCCATGCTGGCCTAGCCCGGTCGTCTCATGATTCATGCCGCTTCGAGTTGACTTCTAGGCCGGTACGACTAATAGGTCTTTGCTTTGGCACACGCATGACTCATGGCCCGTCAACCCAAGCATAACTCTCATAATATGTTTGCTTGCTTTCTTCGTCCGCTCATAACATAGAAAAATTATATTTCTTTTATGTGTTGTTTTTACAAGGCATGTTCACCAAAATATGTTACAATTAGAAAAACTTAACTAGAGGACACAAAATTCGTCACGTACGGTAGCCAAAGAAAATTAAGTTAAGCTTGTCATGTTACATCTAACTGGATACGAACGTTACTTTGTAAGTTAGATCTAATTGAAAGATAAGATATTTTTCCATTTTTACAAGATATGTTGCCAATGTAGATCTAACTAAATGGATGGTTTATAGTCGCTCCGGAGTACCGGAGCAAAGTCCATCAAAATATAAATTCCAGCGTCAATACAGTTGGAGCGCGCAACGATGCTGAAAAGGTGATATATATTCGTCGCCTTTTGCGGTCTGAAACCCGGCGGCTGGAGTCGTCCACATCCGGTAGATGTACTCCGTACTTCCTACTGGTGGGCACAACACACAACTTGAGGCAGAAACCGCAGAAGTCATGTTCAAAGCAACAGATAGATTTCCAGGCAACTTGAGAGTCGACCTAAATACCCAATTACACGTGACGTAACCCATGCAATCTGATAGCAGTACTTGTTGATACAATAGGAATAGAGATGTAGAGGTATTGGAAGATTCAAAAGGCCAGGCCAACACATCGTCGGCGGCCCAACCATTCGCAAGATTGTGCAACTCATATGATACGGGAACACCGCGAACACGCTGACGGAGTGACGGGAGCTGTGTTGCTGGCTAACGTTGTTCGTCAGCTACAGCTCCAGAAAGCGATTGGTCCGGTGATGTGGTCAAGCGGACGCATGTGCATCGGCAGCATTATCTAGTCATCGACAGCTGAGAGGGAGGCCAAGCCCCAACTTGATCGGCAACTCCCTGCCTGCTTAAAACGTGTGTGTTACTGTTACAGCGACCAATCAGTCTGCGACGACAACAACGGCCAGGACTAGTTCAACTTGAAGCCACCTGCATGCACTAGAAGTAGAAGTAGAGCATTCTAGTACGGAGTACTTGGTTAGCCAAGGACAAGGTTGACAAAAGTGGCTGTTCCAACATCCAAGGGTGATTTTTTGTCCTTTCTCATCACTCCAGAGTCCAGAGTCCAAATGTAATTAAGCAGCCCAACAGTGACAGGTTGGTGGGCGTGCTCCGCTCCCCACTTCCACTTGACGGCAGGAGCAGGAGCAGGAGCAGGAGCATCACGGTCACGGCATGCGTACAGACGTAGTACAGTGCAGCGCCGAGGCCGCAGGGAGGACTGAGGAGGAAGCTCTTGTCGTCGCGGTTCGATCTATCCATCGGCCCCGACGCGGCGGGAGACGGAGTCCAAGGCTCTCTCGGCCACTTGGATGCGCAAACAGCGACCGAGCCACCGGGGACAAGCCAAATAAGCCATTGTCGTGCTCGTGCCCTATGCGCCGTCGTCGTAATCGTCCTAGTGGCCGGCTCCATCGTGTGGATAGAATTTCTGGGAGTTTCTTGCAGCTAGTAGATTACTTCCAACGACTCCTCGCAAGTATCAATCGAACGCAAGGCTTGCTAAAAAGGCGATATTTGTCTTGCTTCGCCGGCCGGGAAGGTTCACACCAGCCGGGGTGGTCTTGGTACCCCGTCAATCGGACGCGCACGTGTGATCGGAGCTAGGAAACAAGACCAATGAACCCAACTACAACTCAAAGAGTTTGCCATATCATTATTTGGCCAAAAGACCAATCAACTTGATGTATCAGCAAGGACCAAGGACTTTCTGTTAAGAAAGTGCCGCGTGATTACACCCGTAGGCTCAGAGGTCAAGCATGTCTGTGAGCCCTGTAAGGTTTTGCGTCGAGCCGTGGACCTCGAAGGAGATGCCGCCCAAATCCGACACAGACTTGGGCTTGGGCTGGTTCTTGTTCACATCTAAATCTGCTGAGCCTTCTTTTACTTCCCTCAGAATAGTTGCTCCTAATCGCCACTCTACCAAGGCAGAAGGCGGCAACCAAAAAGCCCCTGCCAACCAGAAGCAGACGGATTGCTGCTCAACTGCTGACGCATATACCGACCTTCAAGCGGGGCGAGGTACTCCTCATGAAAAGGATGGACACCCTGTCACATGTGACACCAACTTCATCTCGTCCAAGAGAGCAGACAATGCCATCTTCACAGGGAACTTGACGTCGATCTAAGTTGTAGCACTGGACGAGTTGTTTCCAGCGATCAACAATAGGGCTGGTACAAGAGCCGCTGGTACCCTGGCGCACTCTTCTCGGATGACGGAGAATGATATGACGAAGAGAGATGCTTAATTATTGCATGACGCTCTTTTTATTTGGTGACCGTGCCATAGCACGTTTTTTATTAATAGAAAATATTGTTAACAAGTTACAAACCTACTGTTGGTAATGATAGAGAGTTATCAAGTTATTGCATTGTGCTCTTTCAGGCCGGTTTTTTTGGACGACAGTTTCGACGTCGCCAGGAGCACCGCTGGTGGGTACGCGTCGTTCCTAGCGGACTTCGACTACCACGTCGGCACCACGGCATCCCGCAAGATCAAGAACCATGCGCTCCTGGGGCGGCAGCAGGTGGAAACAGCGCCGCCGGCGTGGCTGCGGATCCACCTCACCGGAGGCTACGTGGTTCTAGCTGCGCCCAAAAGCTGGCAGGCACCAATCCTTATCTACTGCACTAGAGACTTGCGCACAGCCCAGTTAAGAAAAGGCCGAATGATTACACCCGTGGGCCCTGAGGTCAAGCAAGTCTGTGAGCCTTGTAAGGTTGTGCGTGGACCTCGAAGGAGACGCCGCCGAAATCCGACACAGACTTGGGCTTGGGCTGGCTCTTGTTCAGGTCCATAGCTGAGGATTTTCCTTTTTGCTGAGCCTTCTTTTCCTTCTCCCAGAATCGGTTTTTTTTTTACAACACTTCTCCCAGAATCGTTGATCTTGGTGCGATGCGATGGAACTGCTGAATGAGCTGAACAACCCCCGTGATCGTTTGGTGCAGTGCAACGCCTCCAACGTACTACTGGATAATTTTTTTATGGAGCGGTGAAGTGGAGAACCACATAATTGACACCCGAAGACGATGGTGACTGGCAGACTGCACATGCACTGCCATTTCCTTGGACGCGTGCACTTGACCGCTGTTCGTTCGCGCTTTGTCGTGCGCTGGCGTCATTCGTCTAGGCAAATTTGGTGGCCCGGCACTACGTCTGTCAGTGGCATCTGATGAGGGAAGTGAAGAACAATGCACGTTGTAAAGAGTTGTTGTTACGGCTGTCTAGTAACATTTCCTGCACATTGGGCAGTTGGCCTGCTGCAAACGTGGCTGGTGATTTCAGTCAGCTTACCTTCATGACATAATGATCGAGGCGATGACAGGTGGGCTTGGCGGTGCCGGCAAGGACACTGCCGGACAAGGCAGCAAAAGACCAGTGGTGGGCTACGGCAGGAGTGTTTTGAATGGTGACGACCTGACCGCCGACGCCGGGTAGGGTGATGAATGCCGATGGGTGGATTGTGGGGATGAGATGTCGCGGCCGTCAACGCCAGGTCCTTGCAGTTTGCCAAGAGCCCAAGAGGACGTCTCACACACCACACGCGAACAACGGATACATCTGCCGCCTTCATGTTATCATCAGACATCACTGCACAAGCTTCATCTGAGTGCTCATGAAGTCATGATTGTCATGGCCGCCAGATCATGTCGCAGAGACGGACAAGGTTGAGCCAAAATCTCGATGAAAATATCATTACATTTCTGGTCCTCTGCAGTCTAAAATCTA